TCTCTCTCTCTCTCTCTCTCTCTCTCGCACACACACACACACACACACACGTGGAATAAAAGGTCTTAAACACAGGACTCTCTCTCTCTCTCATACCCGGAATAAAAGGTTTTTGGTCTTAAACACAGGAGACACTCTCTGTCTCCTTCAAGAAAAAGTGTACTTGCACACAAAAGCTTATAACTGGAATAAAATATTTTTGGTCTTAAACACAGGTCTCTCTCTCACACACACACATGCTCCCTCTCACTCTTTTCCTCCCTCTCTGTCTCCAAAGAAGAAAGAGTATGCTTGCGCACAAAAGCTCTTTCTCTTCCCCTCCTCCCTCCCCAGAGGAGGGGGGAGGAGCCCTCGGCCAATCGAGGGAAGGCTTTTTATCTCTCCTCTGAAGCAGGAAATAGAAGTGATTGACCAGAAGGAGCTGCGATGTTAGAAAAAGGAAGTAGGAAACAGCACAGAGTCAGTTGCTCTCGGGTCGGACTGGAGGGTTGCAGGGGCCGGATCCAGCCTGCGGGCCGTATGCTTGATACCCCTGGACTAGATCATCATCCGTCTAGAAATACCTTTCTGTAAACAGGGACAGATACATCTTGGCCTCAGATTCATTCCATAATTGCTGTCTTCATGAAGGAAGTTATTCTTGTGCACTAGCTCCCTATACAAATACATCCATGCCACCATAGGCCTAAAATGAGCCCAGTTGGCATGATGGGCCACTTCTCCGGCCCAACCTTCTGTTCTGTATAATCTTACAACCAAGACCTTTGGCTCACTTGCTTCCATTTCTCAAATATTTTGGGCTTCTGTACACCTTTTGCAAAATTATGCATACATACAGCCATTTTATATATCACCCCCCTACCCCCCACAATTATCTGTTGAGGTATAGACTGAACTGCCTTATAGGAAAAACAGTTTCGTCCTTTCCCTTGATTTTTTGTAAGACATCTTGCACATAAATTTAGGAAAAGAGTGTGTCAGTACCTACTTCATATAATCCCAACTGAGATGCAGTGTCTTCTGTGCCTCCCACACCAATTGTCTTGTATGAATGGTAGTAGAAGTCCTCATTGTCCACGTATGAATGTTTTTCATGTCTGAAGTTTAGTCATACTCTGTGTGTGTTTAAATATTCCCACACCTCACGTTCTTCTGGCATGTTTTATGTCCTTCCTGAAAGCTGAGCATGCCATTTCAGAAAACCAGATGTTCTATGTCTTATATATTGTCTTTATTGTATTGTAGTAGAATAAAGGGTATGTATTATGTAGCAACCCTAATAGCCCAGATTAGCTTGATCTTGTCAGATGTTAGAAGCTAAGCAGGGGTGATACTTGAATGGAAGACCACTAAGGAAGACTGGGTCTGCTATGCAGAGAAAGGCTAATGGCAAACCACGTCTGCTTATCTCTTGCCTTGAAATCCCGGTAAGGTAGAACATCATAGCATTGCCAAGAGTTGTTTGTGACTTGATGACACACTTTACCTTATTATGTTTATATGTGGAATTGCATTAGTTTTTTGTAATGCAGTTCATTATATATGGATCTCTTTCTTCTAGAGAACAAAATATCCTAACAATTTCAATGATTGTAATACTGAGGTGGACCAATAAGCAATATTCGAAGCCTTTGTCTATCTTAAGTAGCTGATTGTAATGGTAATGTACACCTATTCTCTTTTTAGGGGCTGTGATTGTGTCCACTCCTCAGGATATAGCTTTACTGGATGCCCGTAAAGGAGCTGAGATGTTCAGAAAAGTGAACGTGCCTGTAAGCATTTGAATCTCCTAAAAATCATGGATATATGTTGGGTCAGGAATGGTCAACTGGTGGCAAATTGACAAGGTCTGCCCTCTAAAGTAATGGGGATCCCTTTATATGTTAAAAAAAATAAAACTACATTTGGATAATGACACCACCTGAGAAGCTGGATGCATTTAATTTGAAAATGGATTCAGGTGGGTAGCCGTTGGTCTGAAGCAATAGAACAAATTTTGAGCCTAGTGCTACCTTTTTGCACACAAAAGCTTATACCCAGAATTAAACTTCGTTGGTCTTAAAGGTGCCGCTGAACTCAAACTTTGTTGTATTTAATATGAGTAATTTACTTACATTGTTATATTTAATTGTTGTATTTAATTTGAGTTTTTAATATGTTATACTTTGTTGTAATGTACTTGGGAACAAATTTGTAAACAGCAGGTGACTACTGAGGGCGATGAAACAAAGGTGATTGTGGGTGTAGTAGTTGGCTGTATTTTAATACAGCTTTGTATTCCTAAATATACTGAAGTACAAATTATTCTGAAATAAGTTAGTTTAAAACTAAGGACCTAACAAGTTATCACATATAAAGTTTTCTGTTTATTTATATAGAATTGAGACTCTTGAGCATACAAACATTCCATGGTGGGAATCTAAATGTTTAACAAAAGGCTCGTGTAGAGATGGAATTTCTTTGCCCCCGCAGTCGGAGTAACAAGTGGCTCTCCCCCCTCCCCCCGATTTTCACTAGACCAGCAAGTATCAGTGCATGCTGATGCACCCTTTTGGCCTAGCACTTAAAATTCATGGGCTGTAGCCTATGAATTCTTTCTGTTAAATGGTAGACTATTTCACTGGTGCATGGAGCCTTCCTCTGGTAGAACATATGTATTCTGCTGGAGCAAAACTTTGTGTATCAGAGGAACACTACCTGTTAAGCAGAAAGGATTTACAGGATCCAACATGATGTATAAGAAATCTTGGAAAGGAATGAAGGGCTTCTAGTGCTAACTTAAGAAATCTTGCTCCTAGAAACACAGCTAGTCTGATGCCTGAAGAATGAAAACAGAAGGCTGAAGGAAACCTTCAGTACACCTACAATATATGTTGTAAATGCTGAAAAGAAGAAATGCTTTATGGAGAACCATTCTTTGGATCAGTGAATGTGCAGTAGAATTGTGGGGAGATTTCAACTGATGGCAGTTAGGTAGGATGAGCATAGAATCATAGAATCATAGAGTTGGAAGGGACCTCCAAGGTCATCTAGTCCAACTCCCTGCACAATGCAAGAAATTTACAAATACCTCCCCCTCCACACCCATAGTTACCACTGTCCCACACCCAGAAGATGACAAAAAAACCCTCCAGGATTGCTTCCTGACCCCAAAGTGGCAATCAGCATTTCCCTGAGCATGTAAAAAAGGGCCACAAGAACTAAGCACTGAGGCAACCCTTCCTGCCCTCCCTCTCATGATCTGCCTAAGTTCACAGAATCCGCATTGCTGTCAGATGGCCATCTAGCCTCTGTTTGAAAACCTCCAAAGGAGAGCCCACCACTTCCTGTGGAAGCCTGTTCCACTGAGGAACCACTCTAACTGTCAGGAAGGTCTTCTTAATGTTTAGCCAAAAACTCTTCTGATTCTGGTCCGACCTTCTGGGGCAACAGAAAACAACTCTGTACCATCCTCTACCATCCTCTAGATGACAGCCCTTCAAGTACTTGAAGATGGTTATCATATCACTTCTCATTCGTCTCCTCTCCAGGCTACACATACCCAGCTCCTTCAACTTTTCATTATAGGACTTGGTCTCCAGACCCCTCACCATCTTCGTTGCTCTCCTCTGGACGTATTCTATTTTGTCTATATCCTTAAATTGTGGTGCCCAAAACTGAACACAATATTCTAGGTGAGGTCTAACCAGAGCAGAGAAAAGTGGTACCATCACTTCACGTGATCTGGACACTATACATCTGTTGCTACAGCCCAAAATTGCATTTGCCTTTTTAGCAACCACATCACACTGCTGACTCATGTTCAGTGTATGGTCTACTAAGACCCCTAGATCCTTTTCCACATACTACTGCCAAGACAAGTCTCCCCCATCCTACAATTATGCATTTGATTATTCCTACCTAAATGCTGAACTTTACATTTATCCCCATTGAAATTCATTTTATTTGTTTTAGCCCAGTTTTGCAGCCTGTCGAGATCATCCTGTATCCTGTATCCTGACTCTGTCTTCTACCATATTTGCTACCCCTCCCAATTTAGTGTCATCTGCAAATCTAATAAGCATTCCCTCTATCCCTTCATCCAAATCATTGATAAAGATGTTGAACAAAACAGGTCCCAGGACAGATCCTTGAGGCACTCCACTTGTCATTCCACTCCAAGAGAATGAGGAGACCTGCAAGACTCATGGGAGACCCCATTTGCTCCTTTGCCTGTCCCCTTGGCTCAAGCAGTGGCAGCAGCTTGAGCTCCCACTCCTCTCACCCATTTCTCCTCCTTTTCCCTGCCCTGCTCTGCAGGGATTAGGGTGAATGGTGAGTCCCCACACACACACTCTGCTCATCCTCATCTGCCTCCAGAGCTGCCACATCTACCTGTTGTGGTAGCAGCTCCCCTTCCGCTCATGCCAGGCCAATAGAGGAGCATTATCTGCACAAGTGCAGACATCTCTCCAGTGTTGGGGAGAGCTTCCCCACTTATTTTTTTAAAAGTTTATGATTTTTCTGCAAACCTGGGGTATCCATAGGTTTGTTGTAACATGGGCCATGTTGAGTATTAGATATATTGATTGAGGAATAACACAAAGAAAAGAGACTATGTAACTGTAATATGTACAGAATATATGGGAAATGGGGCAAAGTAACTTATATGTCAGAATGTGAGGCATCCAGGAAGAAATTTTGAACTAGTTACAAAAAAAAAATCCAATTGTTGCAATCATTTCTAAAATTAACAGAAGTAATATAGGATGACATCAATTCTAAATAGATTGACAGATTCAATATGCAGTGGTATGGGCATTTGGAAAGACATGTCTATGACCTTGTGTGTGTAACAGTGTAACTCTATTCAGATGTTCCCTTCTAAACTGTAGGTGTAATTTTAAAAGAGGATTGGGTAGATTATGGACTGTAGAGAAATTTAGTGCCTTTTGTGAGACAGATTTGTGCCATCATTGCACATTACAGAGTTTGAGAAGTAAAAGGTAAATGCAACCCTGTCTCAGTCATAATCTTGGTCTGAAGGCATAAGATGCAGCTATTTGCATCTGGTCAGTACCTGGTCAGTATCTTCTGGAACTGCACATAAGCTGCCTTCATTATGGAAGAAAGAAGGCATATATGCAACAGATAAAATAGACAGTGGGAGAGGAGAGTTTAGAGGGAGAGTTAAATGCAGTTTAACTTCGATCTTTAATCAGGTGGCTCAGGCTTTAACAATATGGTGGGTTTGTATCTTACCATTTTGCTCAGTTTAACGCAGAGGCTACTCTCAGCTCAAAGATTCTTCCTCTGGTGGAAGAGCTTCTCTCACTGGAACAGTATTCCACTCTTTGCTAAGCAGAGAATTAGGATGAAATCAATTTCTAAATTTTTGCCAAGGAGATTTGATAGAAACAAGCTGCAGATGATGGTCACTGCTGTTGGTAGAACTACTAAATGGTTAATCGTGGTATGGTTGTTCGTATGCAATGAAATTCAGAGGATAAAAATAATATAGACCAATGCTCCCTCTAAGCTGTGGAGTCTTGTGAGCAAAAATTCTACTTTGTGAGCTACTGGCATTAAAATTGTGACCAAGAGATTTGGTTACTGCATAAATTAGTTTGCTCTGGAGCCATCTTTCCTGAGCTAAGACAAAAATGTGTGAGCCAGAGGCTAAAAAACTGAGCTAGCTCACACTAACTTAGAGGGAACACTGATGTAGATGTGTATAAGTGTTTGATATTTTGCAGTGCATCAGACTTGTATAATCAAAAAACTGCTTAGTCAAAGCACAGAATTTACGCATAGAATCTGATATATATGAGGCACAATGTTCCTGAGAAAGCAATGAAGTCTCATCATAAAATGGAAAATGCAGACAATTAATGTAGTCTCTCTATTATTCAAACTGTAACAAGTCAGAGAGATTTGCACTGATTCTGCTTGTTTAGTTTCCTTTCTCTGTTCTTTTTATGTATGTCCTGGGCTACTTAGCTAAATGTTGAATAGGACTGATTGTAAAGGGCAAGGGATCACATTTTTGTGAATATTTCTGAAAGTTCCAAAAATTCCTCCCTTTGATTTTGTGGTGATTTAGAAGTATTTGACAAATCAGGAAACATTTCCTAACTCTGAATTAACTTTGTTGGACCTCAGTGATACATCACAGCTGAATCTGATTGGCTGTCATAATGTCATCACATTCATCATGTGATCCCCTGTTGACTCAGATGTGGCTGCTCTGAAGAACAAAGTCTAATAATTAATTAGTTATAGGGTGGACAGCACCAAAGTACCAATAGAGCAGGGGAACTATGACAACAAACAGAATAAAGAAGCAAGGGAGGGGGAGTATACACCAGGAAAGGGGTCAGTTGGAAAGTACTACTTTTAATCTGAAAATGGAAATACATTCAGTGTGGCTCTAATGATGAAATACAGCTAACTAGTATTCTTTGTCTAAGCTTACATATAGGGAGCAATTATTCTTCATCATATGTGTCATTGAACTTCATTAAGAATAATATCAGTCATCCCTTTTTAGACAGTCATGTGGAAGAAATCCTGCCTGAGGAATTCTGTTGTTTTGCCTTGTCTCCTCTAGACAGCTTAAGCCGACCCTGACAATGTATTAGCATTGGTGTTTAAGGTGAAGCTCCATCTCCAAAATTCTTTTCAAAATTCCCTCTGCAGAGTAATACCAAGTATCCATAAGGTGATGATGGCAAATTTTATTTCAGTATTTTGTGTGTTGAATGTATAGCCTGCTTGATCTTTTTTAAAAACA